TTTTTTTTCTGTAAAGAGTTTGACTGATAGTAACACATTTTACCCTTCTTGTACCCTGCACAATATTAGATTTGAAATGTTCAGTTTTTCTGTTTATCCCTTTTCTTTTTGAGATACTCTAAGGTACACTTTGTGTTATGTTCACTAACCTTAACTTTCCTTCGTTTGCTATTCCTTTTGCATATACTCGGAAATTTTTGGTCATTTTTTTTGATGCATTACTTTTCTTGAGCTAGTTGTCTACTCTGGGATAATTTATGATTGCTCTACTATTCTTTTACTTCTTTTACTACGTTTACTCAGCCTCCTTATTGGAAGTTTAGAATGAACTCCTGTACGTTATCGGACTTGCTCTTGACACTCGTCGAATCGATATGGTTGAACAGGCAATTATTAAAAGCACAGAATCGCATGGTTTGTGTTCTGTTTGGTCTTTTTTCTTTAACTGCGCCATCTACCATTTTCTTCCAGTGTTACTTTTGGAAACGATCCAGAAGGTCACAAATGCCAAGATGGATGTTCAGCTGCGTGCTCAATTGCTTGATGTTCTTGTACGATTATTTACAAACAATAAACATGCCGACTTCGTTGCAATCTGCCAAGTCAGTTTTACCTCATGTCCGTAATCCTTAATCCGTTTCACATCTGTTTTCAGTGCTTGGTGAAGCTAAATCGCCCAGAAGACATTGGGAAACTGTTGGATCGACTTATGTCGCACGAGGTTTTTTTTCCCATTTCTAGCCTATTACCGAATTAGCTATTCTTTTTACATAATCAGATTTGAGTGTAATTTTTAGAGTTTGGGTTGTGCTTAATCTGTGTCAGCACGTCAAATAAAGACCTGCATTAGTTTTTTAATGTCCTTGGATTTAATCCTTTCACATTCAGTAGCATGGAGCCATCCACATACCACTAAATGTGAAGGGATTTTAACACTAATCTCCTGCGTTATGAAGCCATCGATAATGCGTCGTTTTTTCTAGAACGGTGATCTCATTGCCTATCAAATCGCTTTTGATCTGTATGAAAATGCATCACAACAATTCAACACACAAGTGTTAAACACTTATGCAAGTCTTCATCAACCATCATCGAGGTGCTTGCTGTTCTTTCATGAACTGTTAATTTATTTGGTTTCAGCTTGAAAAGCTGGTTTTCAGTCAGTTCTCGGTATGTCACATAAGAACAGTTTTAGCGCACCACCTAAAGGAGAAAAGATGGAAGTAACTCCTGTTGAAACAAGTACTGAGCCGAAAAAGGAGATACAGCAGGAGACCGGAAAAGTTGAGAGTCAATCTGAAAGCAAACCTGAGGAAAAATCCGCTGAAGAAGTAAGCTTCTCATCAATTATGTCCTATTTATGACTGAGAAAAATACTAAGTTTTTCTGGGCTCTGAATTCGACATTGTTTGTTTGCGTGCTTTTGCTTTTATTGTCGTATGTATTACTTTTCGATGTGCACATATAATTCATGCGAAGAGATGAGGATTATGTTGAGTAAAATCACATGTTGCAGTCTACTCCGATGGCTCGACTGAAAGCAATTTTACGAGGAGAAGAGACCATTAAACAGCATATGCAGTTTTTAATTAAGAATAACCATACGGACATGTTGATTTTGAAGGTTTCTTGACTTAGTTTCTTATATTTATGAGACTGAAGAATGTGCTGTTTATTTGTTAAGGAAATGAAAGACTGTGTGCGTACAGCTACAGCTCATAACGCTACATTGATGGCAAATGGCCTCATGCATCTTGGAACAACTTGTGATGACTTTTTGCGGTTAGTTATGTCAAGTGTCTTGCCCTTGTACATATTCAGCACTGTAGTGTTTTGTAGTGACAATTTGGATTGGATAAGTAAGGCTACGAACTGGAATAAGTTCAATGCTGTAGCTACTTTGGGTCTTATTCATAAGGTGAATGTCATCTTCGTCTTTATTTTAAGACACTGCTTCATCTTCATCACTGTACCTTTAGGGCCATGAATCGGCCGCCATGAAACTGCTAGAACCATATCTGCCTAAGACAGAAGCAGATCAGTTTGGTTTTAAGGAGGGTGGTTCCCTTTATGCGCTTGGTGAGTTAGTTCATATACAAATATGTTCGAAAAGTGTGTGCTGCTTTATTTTTAGTATCACTTATATAGGTGATCATTAAAACAGCATTTATATATATGATCTAAAAAACAGCATTTATATAAGCGAAAGGAAGCT